AAATCTTGCTCTATAAAAAGCAAGTTCCCATCATCTGAACTGCCCGAGGTTCTATCACAGTGGTTACGGAAGCACACGCCACGTTTCAAATTTTTGTTTCCTATTAGTCCAAAAAAAATGCTTATCCCTTTTACATAAAGGTGAGTCTGTGGCCAAAATCCTGACACACTAGGAGATCTGGTTTTCACTTCTAACACTAAAATGTCAGTTTAGCAAAAGGCCTTTTCTTTATTTACCACTAAGATTATATGGTGATAGTTTTTGACACCTCCACCACCAACAGTCTCTTCAAAAGATTTCTGACTTAGTTAAGAAAATATAAAGCTATGGCTGAAAACTCCTCAATAAAAAGTGTAACTTTAAAAATCTAAAACAGAGCTATAGGTTAGCTAATAAACCATGAATTACGGAAAGGGAGATTTGAGTAACAGTTGCTAAAAAGAGAAACTTACCTAAGTTTACAAAGATGAATAAGCAAACAGCACACCAAAATTTAAATCCTTCTTAGCAAATAGAGGAGATAAATAATATGGAGTCACACTGGGACATCATGGTGTTATTTTTGTTGTTTATATGGTCTGCGTGCATCAATGTTACTATTCTCCCACTCCTCCAGAAGGAGCCCACTGTCCAGGAGGCTTCATAGTGAGTGCTCAGTGTATGTGGCAACTAACAGGAATAGAAGCAACTTTTAAAGCCAGAATTTATAGCAGACCAAGGCACCCGCATTCAGTGCAAGGTACATGGCAGCATGCAACTACTTCTCCCCCGACGTTTCTGCATCACTGCCTCCCGAAGAACTAGGTCTGCAGCGCTCACTGCCACATCCACAATTAAAGGATCGCGATCAAAGAGCTCACGGGTTCTGCGATCGGTCCGTATTCATGAACGAACCCCAAGACAGAAACTGGTCCAGACGCAACAAAACATGCTTTCAAGGCTCCACCTAACTTTTTTTTTTAAATTTTAGAAACAAGCATAATTGTTTTTAAAACATCCTATACAATAATAGACATATATGCCGAAACCGGCTTGGCTCAGTGGATAGAGCGTCGGCCTGCGGACTGAAAGGTCCCAGGTTCGATTCCGGTCAAGGGCATGTACCTGGGTTGCGGGCACATCCCCAGTGGGAGATGTGCAAGAGGCAGCTGATCGATGTTTCTCTCTCATTGATGTTTCTAACTCTCTATCTCTCTCCCTTCCTCTCTGTAAAAAAATCAATAAAATATATTTTTAAAAAAAATTTTTTAAAAAAAATAATAGACATATAATAATAGACAAACATGCAAATTAGCCATCCCTCTGCTATGCTAAGCCACGCCCACCAGCCAATCTAGAGTGATATGCACATTAACCCAACAAAGATGGCGGAGGCTGGAGCCGGGATACTTGCGTCGCAGCCACGGCTACCATGCAAGCATCCCAGCTCTGGCCGCTCCAGGCCTGTTGGAGACGCAGAAGTCAGGGGAGACAGAAGTCCGGCTCCAGCGCCTGAGGCTGGCTTCCACCCAGGAGATGAAGAAGCCGCCTGCCCGGTGATCCCAGGCCGCAGCCGGCTGGAGAAGCTGCCTGCCCCACCTCTGCCCTCCCCCTGTCCTCGGAAAGACTGAGAAGCTGGGTTCCAGCGCCTGAGGGTGGCTGCAGCCTCGGAGACGAAGAAGCCGCCTGCCCGGTGATCCCAGGCCGCAGCCGGCCAGAGAAGCTGCCCACACTGCATCACAGGGGACACGGAGAAGCCGCCCACCTGTGGTCCAGGCGCCAGCGCCTGCAGCTGGCTGCGATCCAGGCGCCAGACAAGCCACCCGCCCCGAGGTCCCAGGCTGCAGCCACCCGGAGAAGCTGCCACCCCTGTGGTCCAGGGAAATGGGTTCCCTCTTCTCCTACTGCAGTCATTACTCCAATATTCCCCTTCTGAATTTCTCTCCTGCGCCGCAACCCAACTCCACTTTTCATCTGAAGGATACGGAACAGAGAGAGCAGTGTTAAAAGCTTACATTTTTAAGCCTGTAAGGTTGGTACTTAAACATATAAATGGAAAACTAGAGTCCTTAAGGCAACAAAGGCTACAAAGGGAGGGGACAGGGACAGGGCATGACCTATTACATCCAGCAATCCATATGGGGACTGAAAACTGCAATGATGACAATTAGTGAAGATATGAATCAACTAAAATAGTTGACAGGGACAATTCTTCCATCTTTGAAAATATCTACATCAAGTCTATTTAAATAGATTTTCATCTGCATTAATATAACACATTCTGACAAGACCACCACCACCAATGCGGTCAGTGTTGTGCCGATAAACGTTTAACAACTGGCTCTCAACCAAAGAAAACAAAACTCTGACATATACTATCGGCCAATTTCTGTGGCATAAATTCTCCATCCATGGCTGATTTCAGCTGCTAGTGTGATGCCACTAAATGCAGAGCTGAGGAGAAACATGCAGTAATACACTATTATATTCTACCAGAAAGACCCAAAAGATATAAATAAATGTCAAGAGTCAGAACAGTTGTAGTAAATAATTGAGAAGTGATGAATTTAGAGTATGTATTACCTTTGGTTTTAATGTAATTTATTCACTTTTAAGATTATATAATTTAATTTTTAATAATGAACACGTTTAACAACCAGCTTACAAAATCCCTGAAAATTTGTGAGCCAGTAAGAGCACGCTCTAGCACAGTGATGGCGAACCTTTTGAGCTCGGCGTGTCAGCATTTTGAAAAACCCTAACTTAACTCTGGTGGCATGTCACATATAGAAATTTTTTGATATTTGCAACCATAGTAAAACAAAGACATATTTTTGATATTTATTTTATATATTTAAATGCCATTTAACAAAGAAAAATCAACCAAAAAAATGAGTTTGCGTGTCACCTCTGACACGCGTGTCATACGTTCGCCATCACTGCCCTAGCACAATACTGAGTGGAGTGTAATGGTTAAATGGCATGGCTCATGGATTTGAAATGAGACTCAGCCACTTTCAGGTTTTACTGGTCAAGTTACCTGATCTCTCTATACCTCAGTGTTCTCTTCTGTCATTATAGTACCTACTGTATAGAGTTGTTGCAAAGATAAAATGAAATCTGTGTATGACACAGCACAGTACCTGAAACAATAATTCAATTTGTTACAAACTGTTACTGCCTCAAAATGTTGTTGACAAAATTACTCATGCTGAAAGAAGGAAATTTCATCGATGAGAAAAATGCCTTATTTTGCGATCTACATGGAGACAGTCAATTTTACTTCCTAGGCAGTAGACGGTAATCTACTAGAAACTGAAAAGGGGAAAATGACCTCAATCAGCATGATCGAGGCAATTATTAGCTGGATCATAAAGCAGAGAGGATGCCACACATTCTGGGATACATCTGCAGTAAGAGGCTTCACCTCAGGTATTAATTCTGATCAACTGAGCATCAGACTTAAGATGAATGGTGAGAAGGATTTTGAGGCTGCTTCTAGACTTAGCAGGAATAGAACTTTAATACATAAGCAATAGTTACTATGGTTAATGATGGCCAAAAAAAAAAACAAAAACCACACACCATGATCTATTCTAATAAAAGGGTAATATGCTAATTAGACTGCACTTCTTCTGGACAACCATCCGAACATCCTTCCTGACAAAGCCGGGCCTGGCACAGCCACCTGCCAGCAGTCCCGGGCACCAGTGCCTGCAGCTGGCTGTGGCCTGGGAGATGGAGAAGCAGCCCACCCTGTGGTCCCAGGTGCCAGCACCTGCGGCTGCAGCTCGGGCAAAGCCACCTGCCCACCATCCCCTGCAGCTGCAACCGGCATGGGCAAAGCCGGCCTGGGTTCCATGTGCCTATGGCTGACCACTGGGAGGGAAGCCCAGGTCCCAGGTGCCTGTGGTCGGCTGGAAGAGGGAATCCTGGGTCCCGGGTGTAGGGCTGACGCAGAGATGGTTAGGGGCAATCAAGCCAGCAGGGGAGCAATTAGGGATGATCAGGTTGGCAGGCAGAAGCAGTTAGGGGCAATCAGGCAGGCAGGCAGGTAAGCGGTTAGGAGACAGCGGTTCTAGATTATGAGAGGGATGTCCTCTGCGGGTTATTCCCAGGGAGGTCCCAAATTGGAGAGGGCGGAGGCCGGGCTGAGGGACACTCCCCCCCCCCCACTCCTGTGCACGAATTTCGTGCACCGGGCCACTAGTTATGTAATAAGTTCGAAGCTAGAAAACCCCATACCCAGCGGAGCGGCTCAGAACATGGAAAGCACAATTCGATTAGCTCCGTTGTACCCAGCCAGGCTAAGGGGCAAGATCGCACACTCCTCGGCAGGGCGCCTCTGCCAACATGAACAACAAAGGCAAGTAGAGGAGGCTGCACGGGCTTCACTCAGCACTCGCCTGCCCAGCTCCCGAAAGCTCCCCGCGCCCCAGGGATCCAGGGGACCCCGCATCCCGCCCGCCGCCAGCTCAGCTTTTGTCTGGCCGGGCCGGGAGCCCCGCCGCCCGCCTCCCCGGCACCCCTTTCCTCTGGATCTCTCCACACCCATCACTCGCCGATTAGCTGTGGTGGGTTTCTCTCCCTTGCCCCCTCCCCGTGCGATTCCGGGGGGGTCTTTCTCAATGCGATTGGGGTTCGCTGGCTTCTCCCACCGGCCGGGCTGAGTCTGGTCAGGGGTGGGGTCTGGGAGAGGAAAGGAGAAAGGGGCACACAAAGCAAGCTGACCTCACAGCCGGCACCCTCCCCCCAGCCTCTGCAAAGCAGCCTGGGACCGGCGAACCACGGGTTGGAAAAACACCCCTCCCATCCCGCTCCACGCCGGCTCCCACCTCGGGCCGCCCCCTCCCCCCAAAGTGCACCCAAGAACCGATGACTAGGCTGGACATCGCCCTCACCCCGTCCCGGCGCCCTCCACAGGGGGGAGGCGCGGGGGCCTGGGCGGGCTGGGCTCTACCTCCCCTCGCCCTCACCGCACACTTGCAGCCGCATTATTCGCTGAGTTGCCGCTGCCTTACCAGATCGCCGCCGCCTTCTCCTCCACCCTAATGAGGTTAAGTGCTTGGTGCTGGGATTAAATAAAAAAATTAAAAAAAAAAAAAAAGCCGAGAGCGCCTGCGCACTGCGCTCTCCCTTTTTCTCCTTACCGCCACCGACCCAGCGGGACCATAGAGAATGTAAACTGATGCCAGAGAGGCGGCTGCATCTCTATGGTCACGCCCCGCGCAGGCGCAGGCCTGGCGACGCCGGACGTGGAAGCTGGAATTCCGCGAGCTTTCGCCCTCGGAGCACGTCGGCTGACCCTGACGGGGACCCGTAGGGGGCAGGTTCCCTAAGGAATCGTGGCCAGGGTGCAGGTGGGCTCCCGGGGAACTGGCGGCAAAACTAGGCTAAACCAGGAGGGTCTGGTCTAAGCGGCCAGGCGGCAGTGCCTCGGAGAGCAGGCCGTGCGGTGCGCAGAGCCCAGGAGGATCCGCCTCGGGCCGGCGTCTGGCCCTGAAGGAGCCGGCCTTTCCCTTCGGGGTTGCGCGCTCCCCCGCCCGCGGGCCCTGCGACTTTCCGTACCGCGTCCCTTCTCCTTCCTTTCTGGAGTAGGGGCGGCACTTGCGCCGGAAGCACACTTTTTAACGGTTCTTTGACCTGTTTGGAGCGGAGCCTGTTGGGTGGGACGAGCGTCTCCACGCCGCGCTGCCCCCCTCGCGTTCCCCTCTAGGACAGTGCTGCGGAGCCAAAAGGGCGCGTTTTGAGGCTGCACCTAGGGCTTGCCGCGCAGGAGCCGGCGCTCGCCGGTACCGACATTGTCAGCTTCGTGTCGACCCCAACACTGCCTCGCGGAAACCCCTCGGTCCGAGTTGGCTCCCTCCATCGCCAGCGCATGGCGGAGTCCTGTGCGTTGCGTGCTCCCAGGCAGCTCTTTGCGCCGCACGCCGTGCTGGGGTTTGTGTCCGGTTGGGGAGGGGCGCGGGAGGACGGGCGCACACGTCGGGCTGGGGAGACGGCTCAAACAGTAGAGCCCTGTGTGGGCCCCTCTGCAGTGCGGCAGCGAGCACCGTGGGCCGCAGGAATAGGGTGACATGGGGCTCCTGGGACCTGGAAGAGGTGACATCTCCAGGGCGAAAGCGCGAGCAGCCCTGTGAAAACGGGCGGGCGATGGGGAAAGCGCTCCGGGGCAGAGGCGCCGCCGGGCGGGGGCCCCGAGTGCGTGTTGCGCTGGGAGTGAAGTGAGAGCAGAGCGCGCACGGGACGGGGGGAAGGAGGGTGTGATGAATGGAATGCGGGATGTGGTCAGCAGCATAAAACGGACCGTCTTAACCATTTCTGAGTGCACAGTGGAGGTCAGGACACTCGCCGTGGGATGCAGCATCCCCTGAACTCTTCCTCCCATAAAATGAATTCTGTGCCGAGGCCCCGTTCCCCAGCTCCTGCGACCACCCTCCTACTTTCTTTCTGTAAATGGGACTACTCGGGTGCCTCGTGTAAGTGGAACCCCACAAACCTATTGGGGCGTTTTTGCATGTGACTGGCTTATTTCACCTAACGTAGCGTCTTTAATGTTCACGCATGTTGCAGCATGTGTCAGAATGTCCGTACTTTTAAGACGGAACAATGTCCCACTGTTTGCCATGGTGGACACTTGGGTCCCTGGCTCCCTTTGGCTGTTGTGAATGGTGCCGCTGTGGTCGGGGCAGTGCATAACTCTGCTCTCAGTAGGATGGGGAACATTTTGAAACCAAGGGGAGAACCCTATACAGTTTCAGGTCCTTCGCTTGGGGTAAGAGCGTGGTGAAAAACTTAGGAACTGGAAGCTTCACACACTCCCGTATGTAAAGCATTTTGGAGGTTTTGAGGTATGCCATACATTGAGTACTACTTTGGATAAATTATTGATATATCATTAAACATCAAGATACTAGTAAAAAAAAAAAAGATACTAGTAAATGTGAGCCAGTTGTTATTTACCACATTTGTAGGTGCAAAAATTAGGTTTTGGGCTTACAGATGGGCTGAGGAGGCTAACGGACCACATACCCACAAGTAATTTTGAAACAAAACTCCCATGGGAGCCCAGCACCATGGCCACTGACCACTCACTAGTTTGGACAAGAATGTTGAGAGAAAGTATTCACACGCCAAGAGGGAATGTTCCCAGAAGAAAGGGTAGGCTGGCATCAAGAGCTTTCCCTGTCAAATGACTGGCATGTATAAGAGCTCAGACACCAAAACTGCACCTGTGAGGCCCCCAAACGAGGATGGGAGTTAACTCCAGGTATGTTTATTGCCTTTAAAAAAATACAAAATGTCAGATAAGTATATCTTTGTAGGTAATATAAAAACACCACTTTCTAGTTAACACTTCATCTTTCATTTTGCATTCTCAAACATCCTGTGAGATCATTTAAAGCAATAATTTCCTTTGGCAGGTGAGGAAATTGAGGGCCAGAAAGGGAAATTACTCACCCAATGTCATATGGCTGATTGGTACCAGGACTGCCGCTGAAAGCTGACCCCTGGACTTCCCTCTGCTGTGGGCTCCCTTGCAAAGATAGATAGCAGTCAGTGTCATCTTCCTCGGGAGTACATGAAGCGAGTGCTGTTTAAACTGCATTATGAACAGCATTCATACACTCGAGAAGATTGTGTGCCAGACACTTGGCAAAGCAGGGGAAAAATTGCTGTTCTTAGAAGAGATAGAAAAATAATAAAATATATATCGGGTAGGGTCAGTATTGTGGGAAAAATGAAGCAGTGAGGCAGTAATGGAGAATGCTGAGGAACGATTTCTGTTTAATTGCTGCAAGAGGGGAGGGAGGCTCACTGAGAAGAAAACTTAGCAAAGATCTGAAGGAAGCGAGGGAACAAGCAATGTTCTTTATTTGGGAAAAGCATTCCAGGTAGGAAGAATGGAAAGTGCACAAATTATTCTGAGGCAGGGGGATGTCTACTACATTCTAAGAACAGAAAAGAGGCCAGGGTGACAGCAGAGCATGGAGAGGAAAAGGAGGAAATGAGGTCATAGGTAACAGGATGCCAAGTTGTATAGGGACTAGGACATTGTGAGAGGAAGCCTTTTAAAGAATCACTTTTATTAAATAAAAAAATCACTTAAGGTCATAGCAAATTTGGCTCCGTGGATAGAGCACAGGCCTGCGGACTGAAGGGTCCCATGTTCCATTCCTGTCAAGGGTTCGATCCCCAATAGGGGTTGTGCAGGAGGCAGCTAATCAGTGGTTCTCTCTCATCATTGATGTTTCTCTCTCTCCCTCTTCCTCTCTGAAAGCAATAAAAAGAAAAGAATCACTTTAGCTTTTGTTTGAGAATAGATTGTAAGGGATCAGGGGTGGGGACAGGATGCTGCTGTAGACCAAGTGAGAGACTGGTAGGTGGCTTGGGCAAAGTGCAAGCATTGGAGGGGTGAGATATCTGGATATATCCAAATGATACACAAGATTTGATTGATTAATGCATGAAGGGTGTGCGAAAAAGAAGAGTTAGATGCCTGAGCCACTTGAAGAATGGAGTTGCCATTTACTAAAATGGGAATAGATTAATTTTGGAGATGTTAAGTTTGAAACGCCTATTAACGTGGAAATATCAGGAAGGATATATGAATCAAGTTCAGAATAAAGGTACAAGCTGAATCTGTAAATCTGGGAGACATAAAAGTTATCTGAGGATCCTTGGAGAACTCAAGCATTTCAGGGATTGAGATGGTTATGAAACCAAAGGAGACGGCAGCCACTGAAATACGAGGAAGCCATGGAAGGAAATCAGGACGAGCAACCAAGTCAATTGCCAAGAGGCTATACTGACCTTTGGCTCTCACATTGGAGTAGTGAGGAGGAAAGCCTGATGGGAACAGCTTCAGAAAAAAGGGTAGAGCCTGACTGGTTTGGCTCAGTGGATAGAGCGTCCGCCTGCAGACTGAAAGGTCCCAGGTTCGATTCCAGTCAAGGGCATGTACCTTGGTTGCAGGCACATCCCCAGTGGGGGGTGTGCAGGAGGCAGCTGATCGATTTTTCTCTCTCATCAATGTTTCTAACCCTCTCCCTTCCTCTCTGTAAAAAAATCAATAAAATAGATTTTTTTTAAAAAAGAAGGGTAGAAACAGAACTGGAGAAAGGGAAGATAGGTAATTTGAAGGAGGAATTTAGTTTTAAGATTAGGGGAGCAGTAAAGTGGGGTGATACTTTGTGGGAGCACTGGTCCTTGGAGACCGGGTATTAGATGGAGAAGGTATGAGAAGCCGTAGACATATAGGAGAAACTTTATTGTAGGTCAAGTAGCCATTGCTAACAAGGAGCCATCAGACAAAACAGTTCTTCAAAGCAGCCGCAGCAAACAGGAGCCCACATAGCCGCTAATAAAGCAGTCCAGCAAGCGGCCGGTCAACAGCACGTCTTTATACGAACTCGGACAACAGAGGCTTCTTGCCAAACAGTGGTGCCAGCATTTGGGTTGTAGAAAGGTGCACCTGTGCAGTGTGTGCAGGAAGACTGCTGTGTCCTTGCTTCTGCATCTGCATGGGGCAAATTGGCCTTGAACATCCCACTGACTGACGGGCTTCCCACACTCACATTGGTCTTGAACATCTGGACAGGGCCCCCACATACTTCAAGGTCAAGAAAGTAATTTTTATGTCACCCATAAATATAGTATTTCTAAGTTACTAGTAAAGATTTTTATAAATATAACCTCAATACCACTATCTCACCTAAAAATAATTCTAAAAAACATTCATCTATCATATCATGTTAGATCTCCTTAAATGTTTATTTTTGCTACCAGATTTACTGAGATATAATTCAAATACCATACAGTTAGCTCATTTAAAGTATACAACTTAATGAATCTCTAGTATCATCTACCCTGTCAATCTTTAAATTTTCCTGTGTCTCATACATTTTTGCTACCAGATTTACTGAGATATAATTCATACATATAATTTGCCCATGGAAAGTATACAGTTCAGTAGTCTTTAGTATATTCAGAGTTGTGCAGTCACCACCACAATCCATTTTAGAACATTTTCATCACCCCACAAAGAAGTTCTATACCCATTAGGAGTCACTACCCATTTTATTATTCTTCCCATCTCATACAATAATGTTCATTCCAAAGCCAAG